GCACGTACCCTACACAAACATATAATCATTTTTTAATGATAGACGATGGACAGAGCTTTCCAAAAATATATAATATGTTGAGTTTGTGTTACGTTTTTCCAGCAAACCAAGGAAACAAACAATGGTGGTGTGTTAAAAGTAGCATGTCGCCAGCAGAAAAAAAAAAAATTCAAAGTAATAACACAAACACAAAAATTATTAGTATGACTCAAGCCTTTATTGTGATTAATTAGTAAACATTTATGTTTTGAAATTTTGTTATTAGTTGATTGTCCTATCACTTTTTCACATATTAAAAATATCCAAAATAAAATGTCGACGTAATCATGTGTTCTCCTTTACGGTTGTTTATTTTAAAGACAATAATTGCAAATTTTTGAATAAATAAAAATATTAGTCTAAAATCAATCCGGGAAGTATATAATTTGATTTGATTATACTCCAAGCACAGGGTATCAAGAGATATTTGGGGTATTCTATTTGGAGCTTGTAATAAAATTATTTTTTTAAAGCGTGTGATTTCCTTTACGCATATATCTCGTGTGGATACTCAAATTATATTATTTTGTTTTATCGTTATACACAACGACAAAGCCATTTGTTGTTATCGATAACTGAAAGGGTAAGAGTGAATTGCATTATTCAACAAAAATCACTGAACAATAAGTTGTGTGAACACCTTTACGTGTTCTCCTTTACTTCAGTTTTGCTTCAGAAGGGAATATGCATAATGCTTTTCCCGCCATATTTAGTTTCCACCATCTGCAGCTGATCAGGATAGGGTGGATTTGAAAGGTATTAGTCACAAATCAACTCATTTTTCTGCAAGAAAAGTCCTTGAAAGCAAGATTACCTAACAGGTGTGTATCTCTTTAACTGTATAACTACATTAAAATGTTGTGAGTGATGGTAGTTTTAGGTTTAAATGACCAATAAATTACACAGTTAAATCTGTGATCGATAATTAGGAGTCTATTTATAAAAACAGATAATTGGGGACATGATGAGATGCGTGTAAAGGAAGTACAATATAAACTGGTAAAGGAGAACACGTGTGAAAAACGGCAGTCATCTTCATCAAGATGGGAAAATATGACAGAATGTAGCCCGATTGTTAGATTTTTGGCACAAGGTTTTTCAGTAGTTATATTTTCAAGAATTGTATAAATCGTACTTGTAGGAGAAGAGTTTTTTTTCAACGTTTTTCAGTTGAAAAATGGACACTTAAGAAAGCCTGGCCCTTTAGCGCAAAGCGACATTAGGCTATCTGCTGTGTCCACTGCGAGGAATGGAACCCTGGATGTTGGTGTTGTAAGTCCGTAAACTTACCGCTGTCCGACCGGGGGACAGAATTATTCAAGTTAAACAAAAAAAGCCCGTTATCATGAAATAGATACCGAAAAATAAAACATTAAGATTTTGATTTCACGTACTAGGCTTATCATTTAAAGTACGAACAAAATAAACTATTGCAAAATAAGTTTTCTTAAGATTTATAAATTGTAAGTAGACTAAAAGTGTGTTTTACACTAAACTGTATTATGTGTTTTTTTTTTGTTGTTGTTGTTGATGGTTTTATTTGCTTTTAACATTTTGAGTATTATTAATGATTTTCCGTGCAGAAAATTGTTGTATATTCTAATTAAATAAAATTACATTAACTGTGACTGTTGGAAGTGTTTGAATATATTTTTATTGTATATTAAACCAAATAATGCATTCCATTAAGTTCCTTCTGATGTTCCTTAAGATTATAATATTTATATGTAGCTTTCTTGTTGCAGGATACGCCATTTTCTGGATCCTACGACAACAGAGCGTTTGGTATGTAACTTTCTAAACTGTCATTTACACTATTTAACTTGGTTATCTGAATTTTATCCAGTACCTATGTGTTTTTTTCGTAACTTAGTGAAACAAAACATACAAAAAAATCAGCAAAATTAATTTTCTTGTTATTTTAATCTTGTCAAATATATATATAAATACATTTTACAATGTGGAACAGCATACATAATATCTTATGATATCGTTTCTGTCTTCTTTGGTCTTCATTTCGTTTGCACTGATCTCTTAAGAGTATTCCGGTAAGTTCCACAGGGTAACTGGAGCTTAAAGCAAGAGATGCTTTGTGAGAGTAAACCTGAATTCCCAGACTTCGACTGAGTTGTGAAAGAAAGAGATTTGTCACAGAGTGGAACAATGTGAAACTATTTATTTATGAAAACAACCAAAGAAAACGAGTGTGATAAAGGAGGTTTAAGAGCTCTAAAAATACCAGTTGAAAGTCCTGAGAAAATGTAGTATTATGTACACAGAACAACAAAGCTATTATTTCCCAGGGCGTGTGCGCTACCCACGTCACTGTTTGTCATTTCCATCATGAAATAAGACATGTATTCTCTAGGTGTCTCTTAACTAACCTATGTAGTTTGCTCTACTTCACAACAATCTTTCCCACGAGAAGGCACACGTGACACCCTAGGCAAATAACCAAGTTCAATAGGTAATTAGGGTTAAGGAACTTAGCTGCTTCCTTGACCAATGTTTCATGCTAAAATTACATACTTTCATATGTACGAGAATTTTGAAAATCTTTTTGGTTAAATAGTGTAGTAAAAAACATACAGTATGCCAGCATAATGCAAATTTTAAATGTATACAGTGAAAATGCACAAATAACAGCCATCTGAATGCCAGGTTTCATTGTCATAAAACTGTTTAAAAATGACACTGTTGTAGATAACTAAACTGTGCAAGTCTCTGAAATTCCAAACCATCCAAGGTTTTTAAAAGTGATCCAAATATAATTCAAACTTGGTTGGAGAATTCATTAAAAAACCTATGTGGGTATGGCCTGTACTAAATCAGAGGTATACTGATTTTCATTCTAAGAAAACCATAGACAACTAATAAAATACGATGACATTTCGCACTTAAGAGATATTCCACAAAAGTTTTTTTTTGGTAATGATAAATTTGTATTCTGGTTGCATATAATGAACAACAACAAGTCGAAAGTAACATCGATGATAAAAAGTGTATTTATTATGTAAGTAAATATATTAAAGTTTCAGGTAATTTTGAAAGATTAAACATAGTTTAATTCACAATGAAACTATAAATACCACAGATCCTGTAAAAATAATATTTAACATAGCCTTTATTAACAGTGATGTAACAACAGGTTATTTAAGCTATTAAGTTTGAGAGTTGGCGATGGGTGGTATTGACTATCCGTCTTCCCTCTAGTCTATCACTGCCAAACTAGGGACGAATAATGCAGGTAGCGCTGGCGTAGCTTTGCGCGAAATTCAAAACGAACCAAACTTTTAGCTGCAAAGATATGACTACTGTCCATCAGTATCAGGTGTTTACCCATTCATGATATCGTGAATTCAGTGGAGGATTTAACTTGTGGGTGGTTGGCTTGTTGGGGTTTTATGGTTTAAAGCACTTGGGCTGTATACGCCAAACAACGTGTTCTTATATATAAAACCCTCATAATGTTGTTGTCTCAAGGAGTTATGCTACAAAACCACTCTGGTTATTCGCGCTAGTCCATTGGAACAGTGGTAAATTTACAGACTTACAACGATGAAATCCGGGGTTCGATTCGACACAGCAGATAGCCCAATGTGGCTTTGCTCTAAAAGAAACAAACAGACATCTACGCCAAAGAATGTTGTTGTTTTTCCCTTTAACAACAACAACAACTAATTTTATAAAAAAAATTAAAATGAAAAAAATTTGTTTATAAAATAAAAATACAATATATAAAGCAACATGTTATAAGAAAAAAAAGGATAGAATATTAAATAGAATTTAAAAGGTTTACGGCCAGTAAATATTATCAATTTGGACAGTGTCTTCGGTGCCTATGGCTACATTAATTGGGCACCACACTACATGAACATGTTGTCGATTATCATAGTAGTAACGGTACAAAGTAATAAGTGGGTGATTGTGCTCACACATTGTCAGATCATTCATTCCCTTGTAAAATATAACGACGAGTAATTAAACTGTGGCTAATTTATAGCCTTGCGGGGTAAACTTCCACCAGTTCCTGCCCAAACTAAACATCCAACTTCCGATTGTACGTTTTATGTGGAAAAAGCTTTTCGTGACGTTACTCAACCCAAATCGCAAACTGGCACGAAGCTTTGCCATGACGAGCGCCGAATCCATATATGGAAATGGAAAAGCACTGACGTAACAGTGGAGGCCCATTCTGTAGCAGTGTCAATAAGCTGTTCCCTTGAATTCCGACATGGCAAGTAGAAAAATGATAGTAAGAAAATGGGTCAGTCTTTCCTGAATATCTTATAACAACAGATTTAAGCGATTCGATGGCCCTCAAAGAGCTAAGCGAATCAGTACAGATGGTACACATCGTGGTCACAAGTAAATAGACACCACCTTTTCAGAAAAAATGAAAATTTTCAGTCATATTCACATG